TGGCATCGATGGCCTCCAACCTACTAGAGATGGCCTCCAACCTACTAGAGATGGCCTCCAACCTACGAGCGATGACAAAGCCGTACGGAGAAGTGCCGACTCTCTGCTTTGGATATCATCCGATGGTTACAATGGCTCCTGTAGTTCCAGCTCTTCGCAGCCATACAGTGACAAATTTTGCAAAACAATGATCGGTATGAGACATCTGAGGTGTTTTTGGGAAGTTGTTTTGTCGAACAGACCCAGGCAGTGATGCTTCCTTTAGTCGGACAAATCTTCATCTCAGTGAGGCACGGAAGCATCGAATGAGTCTGACGTGTTCAGAAAATGCACCAAGTCCCCTCAAGTCCGAGCTTGAGTCAGGAGCAAGGACGCTACTAGTAGCTCCTGGCCTTACCACTAGGAACAAGAGGACGCTGCTAGTGATAAAGGGCATCGCTACTAGCAACAAGTGCATCGCTAGGGCGTCGCTCCAGTCAGGTGGCTTCATGATTTGGGTGTGGCCCATCGAGACTTATCGTGATACTCTTGGACCGTCGGACATCGTGCAACGTCCTGTGTCCCACGACTGAGGCTGGAGAACATTCTTCTAACTGATGCAGAAGGTGGGAGCTCGAAACGAGACCGTTTTTAGAGTCCTTGCTCCTAGTAGCGATGCCCTTGCTCCTAGTAGCGATGCCCTTGTTACTAGTAGCTTCTTGTTGCTAGTAGTGTGGCCAGAGCCCCTAGTAACGTCCTTGCTCCTAGTAGCGATGCCCTTGTTACTAGTAGTTTCTTGTTACCAGAGTATGGCCAGGAGCCCCCAGTAGCGCCCTTGCTCCTAGTAGCGATGCGCTTGTTACTAGTAGCTTCTTGTTACTAGTAGTATGGCCAGAGCCCCTAGTAACGTCCTTGCTCCTAGTAGCGATGCCCTTGTTACTAGTAGCTTCTTGTTGCTAGTAGTATGGCCAGGAGCCCCTAGTAGCGTCCTTGCTCCTAGTAGCGATGCCCTTCTTACTAGTAGTTTCTTGTTACTAGTAGTATGGCCAGGAGCCCCGAGTAGCTTGCTCCCGATGCCCTTGTTACTAGTAGCTTCTTGTTACTAGTAGTATGGCCAGGAGC